TTCGAGGCCACCATACGTGAAAACGAGCAAAATATCTCATGGCTGAAATTCCATGGTGTCCTTGGCACTAGCGGATCCAGGATTTAATTTTTGGGGAGGGGGGCTTCAGCCCGAAAGATTTTTTTTCATATAAGTATAAAAATGATTAATTAAAAAAAAAAAGATAGAAATTAACTACCTATACGAAATGATGTTTAAGTGGTTCTTGAAGTCCTATCAAATGTAATTAAACAAACAAGGATACATTAAGAGATAGTTAAAGGTATTTTTTTCTGTAAAACATGGTTATATTTTACCATTTTGGGGGGGGGCTTCAGCCCGAAAGCCCCCTTCCCCCCGTAGATCCGCCGGTGGTCCTTGGTTCAACATTTCCAAACACGATTTCCTTAGTGTTGACGGAATTATAATTCGTCCTTTCCATAGCAATGTTTTATCCTCGAGGGACAATTCATCTCTTTTGTCATAGTATGGCAAAAATTCCTTCGTAATTTTTTTTCGATAAGGCCACCCTCTTTCGATGAAACCTAACACCTTCAGCAAAATAGAATATTTGTAGATTTCTTGTCCTAGTTAATAGCAATCCTTCTCTTCGAATGTGTAGCACTTGTTTCCCGAAGTCCTCCGGTCTGTCGCTTTCAATGTTCAACGGTAAGAGTGACAATATGTCTGCTGCCGAATTGTCTACTCCTTTAACATAAGCGATAGTGTAGTTATATGGACTGAGTGTAAGAGCCCAACGAGTCACTCTATTAGCTGTAATTTTCGGTAGTTTTGCATGTTCTCCAAATAACCGAACGAGTGGTGTATGGTCCGTTTTAAGAATGAAATAGTCAATATTTATTGACTCTACTCAATAAAAGTAAAGTCAACATCAGGGTGCAGTTCTAAGAGTTTTTCCTGCCAGTGTTTGTCGTTGATCCCTAAAATCAATTGATCCCGTAATCGTTCACCTAAGGAGTCTCCAAATTTACACTTCTCTGCAAGTGATTTTAATTTATTGACGTACCACAGTATCCTTTAATAATACCCCACTTATCCCTCTTGAACAAATCCGATACCTTGGACTTCATTTGGCCAAACGTCTAACTTGGAATCCTCATACCAGACTGAAACGACAAGAAACCGCTCGACGTTTCCGACTACTCCAACACTTACTAGACAAACGCTCTAAACTTCCCCTTAATTACAAAAGACTCATATACTTGACTATAATAAGATCTATTTGGACTTACGGAGTTGAGCTATGGGGCTCCAGTAAACCATCGAATTCCTCTCGCATCCAATCCTTACAATCCAAAATCCTTCGTAAAATCCTCAATGCTCCTTACTTTGTCACTAATAAAATAATCCATAAAGACCTCAATGTTTCCGATTTGGCCAAATCCAGATACCTATCCTTCCATAATAAACTTCATAACCATCCAAATCCTCTTGTTTCTAACCTTGCTTCCTCTTCGATTCCTGATAACCCTCCGAGGCGTCTGAAAAGAAAATGGTCTCGTGATCTTCTCATGTAGACAAATTATTAGAGTGCTACCAGTGGGTAGTTTCTCAACAAGCGTGTTTAATGTAATAATATTTCTCTGTACAAATTTACTTGATGTATTCATACTAATACAGTAGTAAATATCATAATAAAATTTAAAAAAAAAAAAAAAATTTATTGACGTAAACACTAATGTATTCACTTTCCATTCTTTGACGTCTGTTGAAAATTAATCGTTCGCCTAATGTACAATATTTTTTTATATAATACGAACGTAACGTGATTAATAAATTTTTTAAGGAAATCTCACTAACCTTACTTGGCCTGAAGTGATCAAAAAGTATTTTGAACGACTTGGGTCCTATATTGGCCAGCAATAGATCCCTTTGACTCTTACGTGACGTGATCCCGCGAACTCGTAGTTCAACCGTAAATCGTTCTTCATAATATTCCCAGTCTTCTTCTTCTGGATCGAACGATGGAAAATTAAATATTTGTGTCTGCGATGTTTACGTTTCTTTTTCGAGGCATGCATATTCTTTTCTATATGTCCGCAGCGCCACTATTATATTCTTAACATATAAATCAAAATAAATGTTTTAATTCATTTATTAACTCAACTGAAACTTGTTTACATACTGACTAATAAAAACATATGTTCTTTTTAAAACAATATGATTTAGACAATTAAATTACAACAGAAAATATGAACTATATTACAATCCCCTAAACCACCCAAAATATCAAATTTAGAATATGCTACTGATAACATGGGGAAAAACCGAAAATGTGACAAAATATAGCAGTTCACCAGTTGGAATATTCAGAAGTGATCCGGATAGGGGAGGGAGGCGCTGTGGTCGAAAACCTGGATTTAGTATCTCAGTCATATCCTGTACAATAAAACAAAAAGAAACCTTCTACCCCCATTCAATGTAACTTACGATGTACAAGGTTACTGACCTACTACTGCAGACCGAAGAGAGATAGCTAATCCTCCTGAGCCGGGGAGCATTATTGGCCAACAATACGCCTTTATTTAGAAACAGCGCCTTTTCGTAAGTATATATTTTTTTATTTTTACAAGAAAATGATGCACTGTTCTATTTGTGACGGTAAGATAAATCTCTGAGTAAGATAAGCAATTTGTGTTGAAATAAATGCCGCTTAATTATTCAAAGAAAATGCTGCAACTACAATGAAAAGGAGACAGTTCTAAAATCTCAAAAAAATCATGGATATGTAAAAAATGTTACCAGAGTAAAGAGAATGACGCAGCTAAAGATCACCTAGTCCGCCCAGAAGTAATACTCAAGAACGCTCCTCATCTGATATCCTCTCTGCTGTTAACAAACTTAGTGTCCAAGTCAATGAGGACTTTAAAAATCTAAAAATACGGTGAATTCAGTTTCGAACTAACTGAAAGATTAACAAAAATAGAAGCCCAAGCGCCTAGAAGAACTCGCTTCAGAAAATAAGACATAAATCTAGAGTGGGTGAAATTGAGTCGCGTGTAAGCAGAAAGGAACAGCGTCTACTGTGTAGACCAGTGCAAAGTCGCGACATCCCAGTTCCTGCTGGAGAGACTACCTCGGCCTTGGTTGCCAGCCTGGGAGCCGGTCTCGGGATTAAGATCTGCACAGAAGACCTCGACTTTGTACGGGGGAGGCCAAGCGACGGAGGCCAAGAAAAGATGATCCTCAGCCGCCACCCTTATTCACTAATTTTGTGATGCAGTCTGTATAGGACGAGCTGGTGTAAAGAGGAAAGGTGAAAAAGGAATTTTCTGCCCTATATTTTCGGCTGACAATTTGGTATCCGTCAACTCACTGGTCCTGATCCTAGAGTCTGCTACTTTAAATCTCATTGCTGTTTTACTTACCTCTTTTATTTTATTTATTTTTTTAATTCAACTAATTAAAGAAAAATGCTTTTATTTTCCTTCAAAGCTTTTTTTTTATTCATTTTGGAGAAGGCAGTGGATCAGCTGATGCGAATGTTGTGTTATTTACTCATCTCTCAGATTTTGGCTATTTTTCTGCGGAATCTCTCTGATTATTCACTAAATACAGTTAAAGTGACCATCAGAACAGTTGGATATTTACTGTTTGATATATATATATATATATATTTTTTATTCTGTTATGATATGCAGTATTATCACCAAGTGATGAGAATAGGACTCGGTCAGACATCGTTAGTATACCTTCTGGTTCGCCAGCCAAACAAAGAACTCGTCGCTACCTACGAGAAACACCTCCAATGACCACAGTGAACACTTTAGAACCAGAACCTCAGCCCCAACCAGGTACGTCTTCGCAATTAATGGTCGAAGAAACCCCTTTCTTTACTCCAAACCCGTATCAAGTGCTTCCTTCCCATGACCGAGAGGTAATGGAATCTGCAGCAACACCCAGAGAACCAAGGCCTCCTCCGATATTTGTGAAAAATAAAAAGAACTTTCAGTTGTTCTGCACCCAACGAAATAAAATCTGTTCTGGCAGTTATTCATGCCTTAACATAACCAATGACACCAGATTCTGCTAAAGCCTACCGAAAAATATTGCAGTACTTGTCAGAAACAAATGCGAATTTTCACACATGCCAAGTGAGGCAGGAGAGATGTTGCGAGTAGTGATAAGAAATTTATACTCCTCAACCCCAACTGAAGTGATTAAAGAAGAACTAACGACGCTTGGTTCCAATCTACGTCATGTAACCAATGTTTTGAAGGAGAACAAGGAGCAACCCGCATTTTACGCAGCAACCCCAAAGTTTTTCTCAAGAGCAGTTACACCTGCACAGCTGAAATACAGTGCTTATGATCAGGAATTACTAACAATTTAAAGCGCCGTCGACCATTTTTAATATCTCTAAGATGGAAGTCAATTTGTTGTTTTTACAGATCACAAGATTCTTATTGTCACTTTTTTGCAGGATCTTAACGAGACCTCTCCAAGGCAAACAAGACAACTCAACTACATAGCTGAATACACTACTGACATTAGATACATAAAGGTCGAAGACAATGTGGTAGCAGACTCGATGTCCCGCTTGGGATCAATCAAATGGCCCAGCCACATTAATTTAAATGATATCGCAAAAGCTCATGCACAATTCCAGCCTAAAATTTGCACCGGTTACTATTCCCGAGTCTCCAAACTTGTTTTTATTTTCTGATATTTCTAGAGAAAATAAGTGCTTATTTTAGAAAAGTGGCTTTTTTTAACCATTCATGGGCTCGCTCACCCTGGCATTAAAAGCACTACTAGAATGGTAGCTAGGTAATGTGAATATTGTTGGGCTCTTGCTACCATCTTAAGGCTTTCGCTACGTTCTCACAATAGTATACCGATTCTCTCCGTGGTTATTGGATATACCAATACCAGATCAAACTGCTTCGACTGTGGCTCAAGGATTAGGGACATCCTGGATCTCTCGGTTTGACGTTTCTGCTCAAATCCCTACTTATCAAGGAAAACAATTCGAAACCAAATTATTCCAATCTCTGGGGATGTATTTCGAATTCTGTCGTGCTTACTGCTTGTGCTTGTCATCCACAATCAAATGGACTAATCGAGCGCTAACACAGAACAATGAAGACCGCCTTAAAATGCCATTTGCTGAAATCTTCTGCATCTTTCAATGTCTTATCTCTGGTGTTAATAGGTATTCGCACTGCTTTGAAGGAAGACCCGTGTTGTTCAGCTGCACAATTGGCTTACGGTGCCCCACTTTTTCTCTCTGGTGATTTTTTTTGTAAATCAACCAACAGTTGAACAATCTGATGTCTTCAATCTCCTTCAGATAATCATAAAGGGTTTGCAACCTGTTCAACCCTCAAGACATGGGACACAGAAGCCCTGCGTATCTCAGCATCTTTCAACTTTCTCTCACGTTTTTTAGCGTAAGAGTCTTTTCATTCTAAGATGCAATCATTTTACTCAGGACCCCATCTCGTTCCCAAGATACTGAAATAAAAGGTAATAAAACAAGAGTTACGATCAACAGGCTCAAGCCCGCGGCTCTCTTGGGATCTAAATCTACTATGAATAATCACCAGGAATCAGATAAGCTCCAGCATCAACGAGAACCTCCAATCACCTCAATGTCCACAGAACAGCTTCAAGAAAAAAGATCCAACAATCATAATTTTCGGTTTCGCTCGCCAAATAATAACCTAGAGTCCTCCGGGTTTTTCTCTGGTGGGTTAGTGTGAAGCAGACAAATTAATTTTGTAAATATTTAATAACCAGTTTTATTACCTCACTTTTTAATTAGAACACATGTTCAGATACCTCACTTCTAATTATTAATTTGCTGTTATATTGGTTTATTATTTTCAATAATGAAACATTGTCGCCTGATGATCGCCCTGATGATGGCCTGAACTTCAGGTCGAAACGTCGGCATATGTAAAAATAAATATTATCATTTATTTTTGCCTTCTTTTTTGACTGAGCACCCCAACTATTCTTCTCTTCATGAAACATTGTGATCGACCAAAAAATTCAAAAACAAAACTCCCTCTCAAAATTTTGAGGTTTCACGTTTCAAGATGCGTAGAATTCGAAAAACGAATACAAATCTTTTTGTCCGTACGCCGTACGCTGGTTTTTAAATTTTAAATGTGTTACTGAACTAATGCTATTTTTTTAAAGCATATTACTAATGATTAAAGAAAAATAGTTTAGTCCAATAATTGGAACCACCTTTTGTTTTTTTTTTTCTTTGTAACTCGGATGGTAATGTTACTTTAGATGTATAATTGTTTGGAGATAGAGATGGGCAAAATTGTACTCTGAGTAAAAAGTACAATTACAGAGTAATTTACTCAAATACTCGCCCGGTTCGAGTATCGAGTATTTTAATCACTACTCGACCTCATGATTGACGAGTACAAAAAGTAATCAGCTGTCCTCCTGAGTACTTTCTATTTTCAAATCTACTCAGCAATATTTTACTCTGAGTACTTTTCAAAGTAATCGAGTATTTTTTTTTTTTTTTTTTAATTGGGTTTTCTACAACTCAAGGAGTCATATTCCCAACACCCAAAAGCCACTGCTCCCTGTCCATCCAATCTCCTTCACGAAGCCCTTTGGCAGCCATGCTTTCCTCCACGTCCTCTATCCATTTCTTCTTTGGCCTTCCACGCTTCCTTCTTTCAGGTGGCATATAGTTATAAATTTTCTTTCTCATCCATCCGCATTAAGTGGCCATACCACTTTAACCGTTTGGTCCCGATCAGGTGAAGGATGTTCTTTTGACATCCGACCTTGTCTCTAATAGCTGCGTTTGGGATCCGCTCGATTCTGGATATGCCACAGCTTCTTCTCCAGAAATCCATTTCCATGGAAAGCAACTTATTTTCCATCTTTTTTGTCAGTGTCCAGACTTCTGATCCGTAAGTGGCTACGCTTTCTACAAAGGAATGGTATATCTTCTTTTTAGTTTCTAATCTTATTTCTTTACTCCATAGGGTTGAATTTATCGAACTTATTATTCTTTTCCCATTATTTATTTTATGTTCGATATCAACCTCACTACCACCCTTTGAAGATAACCAGTATCCGAGGTACTTGAACTGCTGGCTGACATTTAGCGTCCAGTCATCAATTTCAAGGGGCAAATTTGGAGCGTTGAAAACCATATACTCTGTTTTACTTTCACTGATTTTCAGACCCCATCTGGAATACGTGTCTAGCAACTTTTTCATCATATAGCTAACATCATCCGGATCCGATGCGATTATGACTTGATCATCGGCATACTGCAAATTGTAGATGACATCATTCCCGATTTGAACACCCATTCCACAGCACGATCTTTTCCAGTTTTTAAGGGCTTGTTCTATGTAAATGTTGAAAATCAGGGGTGAAAGGCAGCAGCCCTGTTTCAATCCTTTGTTAATGAAGAAGCTTCTAGACACTCTATCTCCTATTTTTATAGCCCCCCTTATATTTTTATAGAGCTCTTGAATTGCTCTGATGAGGTATCTCTTAATAGATGTGGCTTCCAAAGCTTTCCACAATTTCGCTAGAGGTACTGAATCATAGGCCTTGTGTAAATCTACAAATATCATATGGAGTTCACGGTCGTGGGCCATCCTCTTTTCTATAAGTTGTGAGAGACTAAAAATGTGATCAGTGCATGATCTTCCAGCTCGAAAACCCGCCTGTTCCTCGCTGATCTCTTCCTTTAAATCATTTTCAATTCTGCTTTTAATTATCCGGCCGTATAATCTACTCAGCGAGCTGGTAACAGTAATACCTCTGTAGTTGGAAACGTCTTTCTTTTGGCCTTTTTTGAAAACTGGAGTGATATAACCCTGTTTCCATTCTTCAGGAATCTCTCCACCATTTAACAGAAGTGTCATACTTTCTGCCAGTGCCATTTTGAGTTCGGTCGGGCCTGCTTTAATTAATTCAATTGGAATAGAACCAGGGCCGGGAGATTTTCTATTTTTCATTCCTTTGAGAACTGAATCCAGTTCTATGATTGTGACTGGCGGTATATCTTCCTTATTTAATATTATTTCATCGGATTGGTTCCATGCGAATTCGGGTCGCTCCTCATGAAATAATTCTTCAAAGTAATTCACCCATTGCTGCTCTTTGATCAATGGGAAGTTATCTCCACATCTTTTGGGATTTTTCAATTTTTTTAATGTCCTCCAAGCAGCACTAGACTTTTGTCCATCAATGTAAGTGTCCACATACTTGCAGGTTTTCTCCCAATAGATATTTAAAGCCTTCCTTCTAATAGCTTTTACTTTTTTACAGGCATTTCTATATTCCCTCAGGTCCTTCTCATTTTTAGAGCTCAACCATTTATTGTATAAATATTTTTTCTCTTGAACAGCCACTTCAGCATCCTCATTCCACCAAGGCTTGTTTTTTTCCTCTAACCTCTTTCCTTTCCTCTCCGACAGCTTCTAAAGCTGCGGCATGCAGGCACTTTACTATATTTTCGTAATTTAGTCGATCATTCAGACCTTTCTCATGATTCAATTTCTCCATCAGTCGGCTTTGGAACAGTCCTTTTACTGATTCTTGATTTTTCATACTCTCAATTGAGTATCGAATCGTTTTCGAAGAGTCTGAATTTCCTCTGGTCACTGGAGAGTTTCTAAGAAGATTATGGGGTTTAAAATTCAGAATACTCTTTAAAAGAAAGTGATCCGAACCACATTCCGCCCCTCTCATCACTCTAACATCGTTCACCTTTATCCTAGTAGTGCGCCTGAGGATTATATAATCTATGATTGATTTTAGACCTTTAGTGGGCTGGTGCCAGGAGAATTTGTGAATTTCTTTATGCTTGAAGAATCCATTTAATATTTTCATGTTTAATTGCTCACATAAACTTATTAATCTTGCACCGTTATCGTTAGTTACCTCTTCTCCAAAGCGTCCCACGGTCTCATCGTTGAACTTGCTGCCAACACGTCCGTTGAAGTCGCCCAAACAGATAACAATCTTACGATCAGGTGTTCGCTCTATCAAGTCGCAAATATCATCGAAAAACGTGTCTTTTATGGATTGCTTGGAATCTTCAGTTGGAGCATAGATCCCAAAAATAACAACCTCTTCTCCAAACAATGCCATTTCAAGTTTAATTATTCTTTCATTTACACATTCATAATTTTTAATATACCTGCGCAATCTTTTGTTAATCACCACTGCAACCCCTGCTCTAGCTCTCTCACTTTTTTCCACTCCACTGTAGATATACACGAAATCTCCTGAAAGTTCATTGTAACTTCCTTTGATTTTAGTTTCACTGAGGACTGCCACATCGATATTTTGCTTTTTCAGTTCATTTTCCACTTCGTTTTTCTTGGTCCTCAAACCTTGAACATTCCACGTACCAAAAAACATGTTCCGTTTCCGCGCCTTAAGTCGTTGCCGATTAGATCTGTCCGGTTTTCTTTCTGTTTTGGGTTTGAAAGCGAAATATTTTTTTCCGATGAAGGGGTGCTGGCCCTACGATCAACCTTTTTTAAACTGCAAGGACAGTGGTTTGATTTTGGGGTTGCCTTCCCCTAGACAGGTTGCCTTCACTATGGCTATGAGTCCTGTCCACCCAGGTCGCAGTTTAACGTCATGCCCGGGACAAATCGAGTATTTCATTATAAAAATTACAGGAGTAGAATATTTAATATTTCTTCCATATTTAAGCCCATTGTTTTCTTATGGGGGTATAGTTTTTTTAAATAGTATCGATATTAATGTAAATCGATAAAATAAAGAATTATTAAAATATTTTGGATTTAATCAACTTAGGGGACCATTTTTTTTTTTTACACTACTTGACTTTTATGATAATGCTGTCGGATTTCAGATAGTGTCCCCGGGGCCCGACTTTTTGTAACATTTCGGATTATATCGATATCAGGGTCGACTATTATGTTTTGGGGGGCGCTTTTTATGAAAATGATATCGAATTCGGGATTGGGCCCCCCGGGCCTCGACTTTTTTTAACTTTTTGGATTAAATCGATATCAGGGGCTACTCTTATGTTTTGGGGGGCGCTTTTTATGAAAATGATATCGAATTTGAGATTGGGCCCCCAGGGCCACGACTTTTTTTAACTTTTTGGATTAAATCGATATCGGGGTCGACTATTTTGTTTTGGAGGCCACTATTTATGAAAATGGTATCGAATTTGAGATTGGGCCCCCCGAGCCTCGACTTTTATTAATGTTTTGGATTAAATTGATATCAGGGTCAACTCCTATGTTTTAGGGCCCGCTTTTTATGAAAAAGATATCGGATTACGAATCATTTTCATAAATTTTGAGATAGTGCCCCCGGGGCCGACTTTTTGTAACCTCTCGGATTTAATGGATATCAATGTTGATTATGAGATTTTAGGGGACACTTTTTATGAAAATGATGTCGGATTTTTTTTATAAAATGCCTCCCCTAAAACATAATAGACGGCCCTGATAACGACTAAATCCAAAAAGTGAATCCACTGGGTGCAATCTCAAATCCGACAGTATTTTCATAAAAAGCGTCATCCAAAATTAATTGTCGACCCTGATATCTATTAAATCAGAAAAGTTACTAAAAGTCGAGGCTCGAGGGGCCCAATCTCAAATTCGATATTATTTTCATAAAAAGCGCCCCCCAAAACATAATAGTCGACCCTGGTATCGATTAAATCGGAAAAGTTATGAAAATTCGATGCCCGGAGGCACTATTTCAAATCCGATAGTATATCATTATAAAAAGGGCAACCCAAAACATGATGGTTAGTCTAATATCGATTTATGGGGGATTAGGGCTGGTCAGGTCGAATATGGCCGCTATTATTGAAGGAAATAAAAGAAAACATTTATGCTCTTTATAATAATGACGGAGTATTTGAAAAATAAAAAGTACTCTTTGTAGGAATTTGGCTGAGTACTTTCTGTAATTCGATATAACAGCGCGAGGATTTTCTGTACTTAACTAAATCATAATTAACGCAGCGTGAGTACTCTCAGTACTCGCCGATGTCAGGCTGAGTACAGAAACTACTCGATACTTTTTCCTAATAAAATTACTCAAATCTAGAAAGTAATCGAGTACTGCCCATCTCTATTGTGAAATCATTTGCAGCGTTTTTTTCCTTTCACTTGCCTATATATGAAACGTATAGTAAAGGAAGAGATTGTGATCTTGAAAATTTTGGAATCTCATTTTTCAACGGAAATACACGTTTTGAGGTCACCTGAGTCCAAATAACCATGTCCCACAAAATGTTCTGTGTGTGTTAACAGTCTAGCTCAAAAATGAAAAGTCGTACGAAATAGAAATTGCAGATTTAAGGTTTTTATATCCTTGGGATGTTACAGCAACTTTTTCGTCGAAATTGGCAAACCGGAAGTGACACTTTATATCACCTGTTTAACACATTGTTACGATTTTCTCAAAAACGGTTGTAACAATTTTGATTAAACTCAATGGGTAAGTGTATTATTAAGTGGTTTTTAATTTGTGGCAGGTTTCATCCTGATCGGTGCAACCTGACACGGTTCTTTTTTTCCAAACAAAGGAGACACATACCATTTCTTCTTCGTTTGTGGAGTGCCCTTGATCAAGAGTTTTTCAAATTCCGGACTTCGTACCTCTTTCTTTCCATTTGGTCCCCAATTCGGTGGATTCGCTTCAGCCTCTGACAGGGGTTGATTCTAATCAGAGTATGGTCCAAATCACAGTCTGCTCCACAATAACTATTTATGTCTTGTATGGAGCTTTGATGCCTCTCGTCTATCAGCACATGGTCGATTTGTCTTTTAGCTTCTTTAGGACTTATCCAGGTATACTTATGTATTTCTTTGTGCAGGAACATTGTACTGCTCACTACTAGACCTTTAGCTGCTGCCAGACTGATACATCTCACTCCACTATCATTGCTATATTCGTGGAAACTTTGGCCTCCGATGATGGGTTTAAATTGGGTTTCTCGACCTATCTTGGCATTGAAGTCTCCCATGACTAATCTTATATCATATTTTGGAGCCTGGTTTTCTTACTGATCGTACAAATCTTCCTTCACCTCATCCTGTTTTTCTTCGCTTGGTGCATAATCGCGATATTGCACCAACGACCTTTTACGCGCAGCACACTTATCCTTTCATCAACTGGGGTGAAGTTTATTACTGACTAACTTGCAGCCGGATTAATTATAAATCCAGTGCCAGCTGTCCCATTTTTTCATTTCTCCCGGTGTAGAACATTGTGTAGCCGTCTATAATGGTTTTCCCACCATCTGGCCACCTTACCTCTTGGCTGTTAACGGTATGTTGTACCTTTTTACTTCATTAACTACCGTTTGGGCGGCTCCTGGTCTATACAAGCTCCGAACACTCCATGATCCGATATGGAGCCCGTTATACAAAGCCGGAGTCGTTAACATGTTAATGTTAGCAGTCAGATATTCCGAGGCTGATTTTATATAAATATATTTTTTTTTTTGGTCTATCACCCCCCTCTCCAATCAAATTCGAATGTCTGTTTCTATGATGCATGTTAAAAGAAACTTTTTCAAAACACTTTTGAAGTGTTACATATGCATTTATTATAATATTCATCAACTTAAATCATCATTAATTTTTTTTTTTAAGAGCACCAATTAATTATGTGCAGTAAGTTCTCTAAGCATTTCAGATTTTTGAGTAAAAACTCGAAATTTTAATTTTTTTCCCCTGAAAATCCTTTGAATTATAATATTCCTATTTTAATAAAAATGAACCATTTTTAAATTAAATTTATTTCAGCAGTATAAAAATAAAAACTAAGATAATTTTTTAGGAAAAAACATTACAATTATAGATAAGTAAGTTTTCTGCAATTAATAAATTAAGTCTGGAAGGCAGGTATAAAATATTAGGTATTTTGGATATTACATTTTAGCTGAATATTTATAAAAAATGTATTTATTGATTTTTTTTTTACCATGGCCTACCTTCAAACAATTTAGTTAAATGTGAAGAGAGAGAGAGAGAGAGAGAGAGAGAGAGAGAGAGAGAGAGAGAGAGAGAGAGAGAGAGAGAGAGAGAGAGAGAGAGAGAGAGAGAGAGAGAGAGAGAGAGAGAGGAGAGAGAGAGAGAGAGAGAGAGAGAGAGAGAGAGAGAGAGAGAGAGAGAGAGAGAGAGAGAGAGAGAGAGAGAGAGAGAGAGAGAGAGAAATATTTTATTTACAAACAATACTGTCCAAATACACTAGGTCGATCAATATATTACACATCATAGTTATCATTCTATCATTTGACATAATAGTAATATATTTTTAATTTAAAATATTATAATACATCCTGGGTCTGGAGGTTTCTCTATGCTCCAGATCCTCCAATCCAACCAAAGTAAACCTTAGAGAAAGCCCCCGTTGGGCTTTTGTTTTCTTCTGTCTGAGTAATTTCTTAGTCTTAAAAGGGAAGTGATCAAAAACCAAATTTTGACCCATTGCCATATTTCTCTTACTTCACATATTAACACAGATTAATTGATTAACTTAAGTATTGACTGAAAGACTGGTTAAAATTATTACAAAATTTTATTTTAACTTTAAGGTCAGAAGATAATTGTTTATCAAGAAAAAGATCCCAAAAACATTAAGTGGTCAGAATCTGGAGCTGAGTATGTAGCTGAATGCACTGGTATTTTTAAAACTCTTAAAAAGGCACAAGTAAATATTTTAATTGTTTTACTAATTTCTTATTCATCAAAGATACATAAAATATTTGATTATATCCAAGTTTCCAGTAGCTATAATTAAACATGTATATTGCTACTGTTTGTGAAGAAGTTTGTATGTAAAAATTGACTTTTTTTACAGAAGAGCATGATTTATTAGTATAATTTCATATTTTATATCCTGCTGCTATTTTCCTATTCAGTAGACAATTTATAACAGTTTCAGACTAAAAATTTCATCTTTAGGGCAAAGAGAATAAACATGTAAAATTGTTAAATACGACCTTTTGCATTAACAGAAACATTATGTAGTTCGCTTTCAGTTAATGATTGATTTGTTCTTTTATACTTTATTTGAAATGGATCAGGAGATGGGAACAAAATTTTTAGATCTTCCTGACTTATCTCAGACTTCCTTTATAATGATGAAGAGATAGGCCAAATCAATGCTTTTGAACTTTAGATTATTTAGTATGTAAAATGAACTCTTTCGGTAGTGTATTGCTAATTAAAAAAATTATCTTTCTAGTTTCCATAATTTCTAACTATTATATAGTCTATCTATATCTAACTATTATATAACACTTTTAGAAGAACTTTCTTTTATAAATATAATTATTTATATAAAAAGGGAGACCAAATATATACTGATTAAAAATAAATAACTTTGAAATTTTCAATAATTATAGAATTTATACGTTTTTTTGACCATTAAAAAAAAAAATGTATTTCTATACTTTGGTTTATTTTGATTTTAAAAATAACTTCATAGAACACTTACGAACTTTTCAAATTTGTAATATAATAAATAAATAATTTGTGAATGCCTACATTTAATTTATATGTAATCATTTAAAAACACTACCAATACATGCAGTATATTTTTTTATTGGTATTAGCCTCATATTGATAATGGTGCCAAAAAAGTGATTATTTCTGCTCCGTCTAATGATGCTCCAACATTTGTTTGTGGAGTTAACCTCGATGCCTACAAACCAGAAATGAATATTGTATCTAATGCATCTTGTACCACTAATTGCTTAGCTCCTTTAGCGAAAGCCATTAATGATGAATTTGGAATAGAAGAAGGACTCATGACAACTGTTCATTCAACAACCGCAACACAAAAAACTGTTGATAGTCCAGCAAAGGTATGCTGTTATTTATTTAGTGTGTAACATAGGCATATGGTAGCTTTAAAATGATAAACGCTCAAACATTGAATATTATATTTATTTTTTATAAGCAATTATTTTAAAATAAGAAAATTGCTTTCTTGGGATATACATGATATAACTTTATTTTAAACGGTGAATAGAAAGAGAAGTGGCAATTAAAACTGAAATTGGAGTTTATATTAATTTTAATGAGTATCTTTTTTATTTTTGTTTCTATGTGTTATACTGTATGAATTCTGATCTGAAACTGGATTTTAATTTAATCTTGATCTGTTGGTACAGCCTTTTTATTCTGACCATATGACGATTGATGGCTGAGAGAACTTTTACTAAATTTTACCTTCATAAGAACTCAACACCATATGAGCCCCCAAACTGATATTTATAGTTTGAAACTGAAGATAGGCTTTGTAAACTTTAAATCAATCTTTTTGGATTCTCTGATCTTCCCTTGCTTTTAGAAGATCGCCCTGTTTTAATCTATCAAGTCAATGCTTGCCAATAGATTCCATTTATTCTTTTAGCTGGTTCATTATATTTGCATACTCAACAGCAATTATTAATATATAACTAGAGTTAATGTTAATGAGATGGTAAAAGGTATGTAGAGCCAATTGGTAATTGGTTTTATTAGTAGGTGTAAATATTTTTATTTGTTATTGAATATACATCATTTACAATTGGTGTTATTTTGTAAAGATTACAAACCTATGAGAAATAAATAGTTAACAAGCACCAGTAATTGTAACTACTTTTTTATATTTAAAAATGCTTAATTATTTAAATCCTATGGTTCTGCAAACCTAATTAAGTTTTAGAGAATGGTAGGAATTTCTGATATATTTCAATGTTAATTGAAATTTAATGGATAGATATATATTTTTGGTTTTTACATTTTTTAAACCAAAAAGTGTGTTTGCCAAGACAATTTTTTTAATTGCTTCAAACAAAATTTTTCTTTAGAACATGAAGTGACTAGCAAACTTTTTCATGTATGGACATATTGGAAATAAACATTTTTTTTTTGCATTTATTTATACATCTTAAATAAAATATACTTTAATAAGTTTTCTTAAAAATATTTGTCTATCAATGATAATTGTCCATAAATGATTTCTATTTATGGGATTAGTTCTGTGACATATTTTGAATCGAAATACAATGCCCAAAGAAAAAAAAAAAGGGGACTGCATTCAAAATGTTAATTTAAAAATGTTGACTCAAACAGATTATTATACACAATGTTTTTATATATAAACTTATGTTACACACATGTCTAAGATTTTTAAAATATATTTGCTTATTGTTTGACAAATATTTATGGAAAAAGTTCAAATTTTTCAAAAAATGTTTTTATTTCTAATTAACGGGGATATAAAAACTTATGCAAACTACTGTAATAGGGATAAAAAAAAAAAATCACATACTGTTTTTATATTTGACATCTTCATGAATAAACTTTTTTTTTTATAAAGGATTGACTTAAAAACTGTTTATAACAGTGATTTTCAATTCATGCTTAACTCCATTTTGCTAGAGGTCATTTTAAATAATTTTCTTTCATAACTTTTGAATACTAACTACCAACCTGTCACTCACTATCTCTCAATTTCTAAGAAATTAGTAATTTATATTTGTTGCTATTTTAATTATGCTAAACAGTGGAAGGGAGGGGGAGCAGCTGACCCCTATGCCTATGCCAATGAGTGTAAACACAGTTTCTATATGATCTTATACATAAATAGAATGATAATAAACGAGCTAATAGTACTGGGACATCTCCTTTTGCATAAAAAAAATTTAAAGTGCTCACTGTTTTGTTTTTTTAGTTCTGATAATATATTAACTCTACTTTTGTCAATAATTGATGGGATAACTGAAACTTTGATTTCCTCTCTTTCTAAGGGACATGTCTAGAGTACACAATATTGATATCATTTTAGCATATGTTTAAGATTGTTTTTAATTTATTAATACAATGATTAATTAAGAGATAAATGTCGCGTTATAAAAGAATAATTAATAAAATATATATACATAGTCGATGTTATGTAAAAAGGGTGATGAGCCTAACAATACACTACTTCGTAGGAGAGCAAATTTTAATGAGGTTTTTAGAATATGCACTATATATATTTGCCAATTTTACATATTGGTATGGATATCATGAATCTAAAATGGACAAAAATATCTAATTTGTTGAATCTGTATTTTTTACCTAACATTGACACAGAATGATTAATGTTAATTTTAATATTTAAAAACAAATATAACATGGAAGTTTTAAATGTACTGGAATATTTGTGATAACACAAACTTTTTACTTAAAAAAAATGTATGTTTCCTCACTAATTAATTTTAGAAATGGAGATCAGGGCGAGGTTCCATGCAAAATATAATACCAGCATCAACAGGTGCGGCAATTGCTGTTGGTAAAGTCATACCAGCCTTAAATGGAAAACTAACAGGAATGGCTTTCCGGGTACCAACTCCAAATGTATCAGTCGTTGATCTCACAGCAAAGTACTGAAGAATAATTGGTAAATTATTATTTCCCAGATTAAGAGGAACAGACGTTAATTCATATTGTTTGTACTTAGATTATGTAAAGATGCAAAATTTGATCAAATAAAAGAGGTTATGAAAACGGCCGCACAATGTGATATGAAGGGTATTTTGAAATATTGTGAAGAAGAAGTTGTATCTTCTGACTTCAATGGTGACACACATTCTAGTATTTTTGATGCTAAAGCTTGTATACAAATGTCAAGTAAATTTGTAAAACTTATATCATGGTAAGTAGTCTAATGCAATTGGATTAAATTCTTGTCTTTTAATATTCAAAATATATTATTAAGAATTTAAAGTAACTTAAATAATGTTTAAAATTAGTTTACATGACAGGCAGAATAAATAATTTCTAGTTATTTTTTTAATTGTTTTTTCATTAAATTTTTAATATTTATAAGATGTTTGCTATATCTTTGCAGTCAAGAATATTAAATTTTTAAGATCCACTCAGGCAAAACATCATTGTGCATTAGTTTTGTTAGTTACCAATTATGTAATGATATATTATAGTGAGCGGACTAAAGATGAGGCATTGTTGAACCCGGAACGTTGTTACAAACATATTTAAATATTAGGAGAATAAAAAAAGAAGAATTTTATTCACTTGCTCCACAAAATATTTAATAATGTTAAATTTAATCACTCATCAATAAACCAAAGAAGGTTTATCGAATAGTGTAAAGATGCAGGAAAACAAACCTCTTAAAATTAAACATCCAAGTTTCTTTTTAAGTCTAAATCATCTCTAACATTAAGATAAGGACGATGAATCATTATTTTTCTTGAATAATAAATATATTCCATTTTCAGTAATTATATATACATTAAGTCAAGCAAATAAATTTATTATAACCTGTTATTTAGAATGTGTACCAAATATGATAATTCCAAATACATGAAGATCTTCTGTAGGATTACTTTGGAAATGAAAAAAAAATATATATATATACATATATAACTGAAACAAATGAATATTTTTTAATAAAAAATAAATCTATAAATAAGGTCATTGAAATATCTTATTGACTTAAAACCATATACATATATAAATTTCTAGGTAATCAAATAATAATTATGAACTCAATTTACCAATGTTTATACATATTAAAAGTAATCGAATCACAAAATAAATGTATTGTACTATGAGATAAAATAGATAACTTAACAAAATATAAATTATAAAAACTAATGACTAATAATGTATCAGTTACAATCAATAACTACATATCATGTGGACTTTTCCACTTTCATAAAAACATCTATGAAATATAACAAAGTAAACATAAAATGAATGTACGGAGAAAAAAAAAAAAAAGAAGAAAAATAACTGACACAATTATTGAGTAATAACTGTTAAATCATGACAAGTATAATTTTCTAATAAGAGGAATAATATCCTCCCCAATTTTGGTTATAATTTCCATATCCAGTGTTTTGGGAATAACTCCAGTTTTGGTAACCAGAATAATTTTGATCAGTTTGGTTATACTGACCAAAAGGTTGTTGACCATATGATGATGGTTGGGAGTACTGACCACTGTTACTTTGATAAGAACTTTGTACACCATATGTACTCCCAGATTGATTATAGTTAGAGTTTGTAGCTGAATACGGGCTTTGTGGATTTTGGACTGAGCTTGATGAGTTCTCTGATTTTCCCTTGCTTTTTGATAGGTCATCTTGTTTTAACCTATCAAGATCATGCTTGCTACTTGATTTCTTTTTTTCTTTTAGCTGTTTCATTATATTTCCATATTCAACTTGAGCTAATTGCAAAGTACGGACTGAAGAACCAAAATCTTCCAGAAATTCCAGCTTGCGTTGAGCAAAAATACGTTTATATTCTAGGTCCATTGAATCTTTGTCAATGACTTCATTGAATATGCTTATACATTGTTCTTCATCAAATGGTTGTAACATCAAAGTCAACTCTAATAACTGAGAATACAACCGAGGATTTTCAGGATCTTTGTCAATGGCCTTTCTCAAAACTTTTATTCCTTTGGAAGGATCATTCAGAATTTTCCAACAAAATCTTGCATATTTTGTGGAAAGAACTATGAAATTTGCTTTGCTCTTGCTGTTTGAGAGGTATTTCTCATATAAATTTGCAGTTTCCTCAAAATTTCCACATCTTCTTTCTAAATTTATACGACGGACATTTACATGTAAAATATTGGGCACACTTTCTTCTAACCTCGCAAGAATCTGTCTCGCTTTGTCAAAATTACCTAAACCTTCTTCAAATGTTGCCCAGCTCAATGACAAAAATGGTTTTTTAGGATGATGGATACAGCATGCCCTTTCATAAACATCACGAGTTTTCTCAATTAAATCAGGCTGCTCTTCTAAATACTTCAGAAACTTTAACCAAAACTCTTCATATAAGGCACAAGCAATTAAGCATCGCTCGAACAAAATAATTATTCTTTCACGATTACCTTCAGCTAATTCAAAATCTAAGTATTCTCGCCAAGTGTTTAACTGACAACGTTCCAATGGTTTGACATGAAAATATGGTCTTTTGATTCCCTCCTCAAAGTTCCAACGAGCCAACACAGCAGTTACAGTATCTTTATATTTCTTTTTCTGACTTGATATTACTTTATCTCTTATTAGTGTAGTTTCTTCATCAGCATGTGCAGGGCTTGGTTCTTCATGTTCACCTTCATCATCACCTGGTGGTGCTGCAGAGGGTGGCACATTAACTTCCTTAGACGGCTTCTGTTTTAATTTCATAAGTACCTCTGATCTCAGGGACAGAAATTCATCCACGCTTAGAATTTTACTTGGCGGATTTGACCTGACAAAATCTTCAAAGTCTTCGAAATGACTTTTATAGCCTTGTGTTGGAATTTTTAGAAGCTGATCATAAATTGCAAATACATTTTGAAGATGCTTTCCTTCAGTTTCCCATTTTATATAACTGTCCCAAAGTCTATCTGATCTAAATTCTAAACCACATATTTCGATTGCCCTTTCGAATTCCCCTCGTATATGATCCTCTTGGTCCTTATAACTTAATTTACAAAAGTTTAGATAGTGTAACCAAAGATCTACGCTTAATGGTATAGCTCTTAAACCTCGTAAAAAAACTTCTTCGCATTTGTCTTTATCACCTTTTCTCTTTTCATAGTCGGCATATTTTCGCCAATATCCATAACAATATGGATAGAGAGCTAAAAAGGCATCGTAAGCTTCTCTTGCAGCTTCTACATCACTTTCTTGGTCAACATATTGAAGTAAATAAGTCCAACCAGTAAAATCTGTGGGGTCATCATTCACTGCTTTCCAGTATTTTTCCAGTTCAGGTAAAATTTTTGACTTGACAGACGGATGAGCATGTTTAGTAGAGGGAATACCTTTATCAGAGGTGTCATCTCTTTCTTCAGAACTTCTTTTATGGGGAGATTTATCTTTATCTAATTTTGCTTTCTTCTTGGAACTACCTTCATGTGAAATTATTTCATCTTCATCTTTTCTTTTTTTTGTACCAGATTCTGGTAATTCTTCATCTGAAACATCCTCCGTTTCCAAATTTTCAATTGTATTTGCCAGAGGAAATTCATCATCTGAAACTGCTTCAGTATTCAGTACAGATTCACTTCCGTCTACACAAAATTCATCCTCTGAAACAACTTCAGTAAAAGGCTGATGGGCAGTTGGAATAGAGTTTGGTGCACTTTCTTCTTCATCATTACATGAAGATTCTGGTTCAAATGTCTTGGCTACCTTATTTTTTTCCTCATCAGTATGGTCAAGTGTATACTCATCAGACATCTCTTCAAAATGGTGATTCTTCTTGCTACTCTCTGTTTCTCTTTTGTCCCTTACATTTTGACTTTGAGCGGGCTCATCATCATTTTCTTCAGATGCAATCTCTACTTCTTCAGATGTGATTTCCACTTCTTTTGGAGCTGTATCATTTAGTTCTGATAAATCCATTGAACAATCGTTTAGAACAGGATTATCAAGTTTATCTTCAACACCTTCAGGAATATCTTCTACAGAACTCTCCACCATTTCCGCAGGTACACTTTCTCCAATATCCATTGAATCTGCAGATATTTCTTGGTTATCCATTTAGAGTAAAAATAACTACAAATACCGTAAACCAATTATCCTAATAAACAACAGTTTAAAAAAAGTCACAACTTAATTCTCTCAGAATATCGTCATAACCATTAATAAAGATTAGTGTATAGTATACCGGCTTGATAGGTGAAAAACCGATACACTTAAGCAATAAAATAAACTAATCTCCTACGTTTAATGTCAACTACAGGCACCACGCTTGTAAACAAGTAACCTTTTTGTCAGGTTACCTACATTACAAAAGAACATATACCTACCTACCTACCTACTGGAGATCACTAACCGACTATTTTATGTTCCAAAAATTTAATTTTAAGTTATTAAATTTTTTTTGTTTTTCCAAAAAAATTTTAGTAAAAAAAAACTTAAACTATTTTTTTTATTTATGATCTAAGGTAAGTTTTATATTATTATTACATAATTAAAAAAAAATCATTCCTTTAATTACTTCCTCTTATTAGGAATAAAAAAAATAAATGGAAGTAAAAATATGTATACAAACAAAAAGTAGAACGTGCCATCTCTGCAAGTAAAAAAATCTGGTGCACACAACACACAACTTTCACTTACCGCTCAACTTTGAATAGAAATTATTCTGGCCATGTTGGGCTGTTATAAAATTTTTTAATTGCATTTTCAATCGAGCTAAAGCTAAAAGATTACAGTTAAAAAATCATAAATACTATTAAAATAACAAAAGTCCTATTTATTTATCACCGGATGATTATGGATTGTACGATTTCTTGATTATGGACTGTATGATCCATTGATTATGTATTGAACGATTAACAGTTATTAAACTGTCATTGTCCATTGCAAAGTTTATTAAAACTGGAGATTTGCATTGTCTGTCTTAGAAAGGTCAAAAAATGTTACATCAATTGTAAGTGGATTCTGTTGAAATATCGCAAAGGAAAAATCGATCAAATTATTCACTAATTTAATTTTATAAAAGGTCACATAATGCTTTTTCGGAATATACGGACGATAGATACCTAATTATTTAAATATATCAGATCTAGAGTTTTTAAACTACAGTAAATATATTTAAGGTTACAAACGCATCCATGAAACACGGGCGGATCTACGGAGGGAGGCTTTCGAGCTGAAGCCCCCCCCCAAAATGGTGAAATATAACAATGTTTTATCAAAAAAAAAAAATTTAAAAATATCTCTTCTTAAAGTATTATTGTTCGTGTAATTACATTTAAAAGGGCTTTAGGAATCACTTAAACACCATTTCATACAGGTAGTTAGTTTCTTTCTTTTTTTCCAAAGTAATTATCGTTATTTTTATGAAAAAAAAGCTTTCGGGCTGAAGCCCCCCCCAAAAAATTAAACCCTGGATCCGCTAGTGATCAGAACAAAGAGGAGAGCTCGTAAAATATGGGAGACCAATATACTTCCTTTCGGACAGACGTATTTTTAACACATTGAAAAACTTAAAAGACCAATTCAAAAACACAAACTAGACAATTTTATTAGTAATCTTTCGACATACGATGGAAGTTCGTGGAGACAAGTAAGGAATATTTTAAAGCATCGCGAGGTGTCAGCACCCCTCTGAAGAAAGGTTGAACCGTTTGGAACGAGGAAAGGCCTGACTTCTTTGCTGATTATCTTTTCTCATAGGCACGTTAACGCGAGAAAAATAGTCCAATCATCCCGAAAATTCAGGCAAAAAATTTATGAAAGAAAAACCACTTTATTTGCAAATAACTAAAAAATTACATACTTTTCCCTTGGTTATGCCAATGATTACATAAAAGATTCCTGAATTCCTTACTTACCATATCATCGAAATCGGACAATTATTAGCAAAAATACAGCTTATTGAAATTTTTAAACATGTTGGTTCCAAACATTAAATAAGTTTTAAATTAATTTTTGTTTCCATGTCAATTATATTTAGCGAGAAAGTAACAATTGATTTCTCTATCTTATGACACGTTGCATTATTTTATTTTCTTATTAATTTGTCATTTGATCACTTAATAATGTACTGTGCGCATTTTTCGCACGGGCCAACTAGTTATTTCTTATTTTCCATTGGCCATTTATATATATTAGCCCAAAGATTTGCCGAAGGACCTTCCTTTCCCAGATCCGGAGGATCTTCTTGCATCCTGTGTCAAGACCCTCGTTTCACCTACGTAAGTGACATGACAATGGTCACAAGACAGTTTTATAAACCAGTAGCTTTGCGTTCCATGACATGTTTCGAAAATGCAATGTTTTTCGTAATGCAAAAAGACATCTGTTTCCTGCTGCGATTCTTGCTTTAATTTCTACTGTTGTCATCTTTGCTCGTCACTAAGGCTCTATGATATTTGAAACTGCCAGCTTTCTTAAAAGTGTGGTGGAGCAGTTGCATGCTATCTTGTCCTTCCTGTCCCTCATTTTTTGAGGATATCATATATTAAGTTTTTTCCTTATTTATTTTAAGACCCAACTTTTAATGAAAAAGTTGCTGTGAAATCTAAGGCATATAACTATCTTAAATACATAATAACAGTTTCTTAAGACTGTTCGTTTTTGAGCTAGAGTGTTCTCACATACACACACACCATTTTTCAGGACTTGGTTATGTGGACTCAGGGTACCTCAAAACGTGTATTTTCCTTGAAAACTCAGATTCGAAAATTTTCACTATTGCAATACTTTCCCTTACTATATAATACATATATAGGTAAGTGAAAGTAAAAACACTTGATCCTCAGTCCTACAGTATTGCTCTTTCTTTACATACAAAGTTTCAGTCCTAAGACCATTTTCAAGGAAAGAAACCTAACTTTAGTATAAAAATAAAATCACTTACCCATGTCACAAGCTTTTGTCTGATCTCAATTAGACAAAAGCATGTGACCTGTAGGCAAAGTTAAGGAAGATAAATAAAATAAGATATAAATTAGTGCAGGGTACAAACAAATAATTTTCAATGTTGAAAACAAGATAGCAGATACAAAGTTATATAATAAAATAACAATAAAAAGTAAGTTTCATATAGTTGTTTTTAGTCCTGATGAAGGAAATCAGGATCAACATGATAAGTCCCACTAATCATGTTTGTAGCTTTTTGACTGCACTAATGACCAACTTTTTATTAAATTAAATCTACTGCCAATAATATCCATACCATTATAAACAAAATATTAAGTTGCTGATAATGACAGTTAGAAATCATCAACTCATTATTTTTTTTCCACACAGGTATGACAATGAATTTGGCTACTCAATGAGAATAATTGACTTGATCAAGTTCATTAAAAAACAATCCTAAGTAGATTCAAATAAGACTGAAACTTATTAGAAGCCAAAGATGAAATGAAATAAATTGTATACTGAAAACTATTGTACTTCATGTTTTTTTTTATTTTTTATAATTATTTGTAATGGGCACAGGAGCTGGGACAAATAATGGTTACCTTAAAAAAATAAGTATGTCTTTGGCTGTAACCTGATGGTTCAATGAAAAGTTATAACTGTAGAGATACATATTTAGATTTATGAATAAATTTGTCAAATATAAACTATAATGATACCAAGCAAATGCTCCAAATGCCTCCAAACCCTCCACCTCTGCAAATGAAATATGAGATTAGTACAGTCATCCTTCACAGATTCTTAGGTTTTCTCTTCTATGAAATCTATACCATTTGAGAGCCTACATTGCTCCCCAACTGCTTCACATCTACCTGACCCTGGATTGCTCGTATTAGCAAAGCTCTGATTTTACTATATTCTTTATTATTTCAAAATCTTCTATCAAAGCCATATGGTAGACCCAATGCTGAAGACTGATCTTGATGTACTTGAAAAGAGTTAATATAGCTTCCTTCTGCATTCTGCTCTAAAGCGTATAACTGCACTGATCCTTTGTTAATGACATCAGAGAGATACTTGTGGAAATTGACTTCAGATTATAATAAGTTATAAATCAAACAGCAATAAAATAAAAAGTAAATGAACATACAAAAATAATTTTAAAAAAACTATTATTTCAACAAAAATATGGAAATTCAATAAAAAAAAAGGCCTGTATATAATATTTTCATTCTCTCCCGATTTTCAGGTGAGGAGTGATTTATAAGAGATGATAAGAAAGGGAATTAAAGTGCTTGGGATGGATAAGAATGACCTTGGTATTTTCAACATTCAGTCTCAAACAATTGTTAACTGCCCATGCATTTATATAACCTAGATCTTTTTGTAGTTTTTGGATTGCTTTGAGCATCTCAGTAGGAAGGTTTGGAAAATTAGGAGGTTATCCTCTTAGTGTAAAGTACCTGAGTGGTACTATGAGTAGTGATGGAATGAGGAAGATCATTAATATAAACAGTGAAAAGTATTGGTAAAAGTGAGGAACTCTGAGGTACATTGCATGTTAGTAGAAGTTTGGAGGAATCAACTTAAGAAGGTATTTGAAATAGAAAGGTTTTGAAGTTTGGAATAGAGCACACGTTTTAATCAACTGATTATTTATATACTATTATGATTCTTTCCAATCAAATATATAACATTTTTCCTCAATCAAACTAGGATAAAAAGCTTAGTTTTATTTGGGCATTGGATCATTCAAAGAATAATTCTAAATCAGAAACAGGTATAAAAGTTTTATATAATATATTATATACACGGTATTACAAATACACAAGGATAAATTAAGACACTTTTGACAGAAATTTACAATCTATTACTAGTAAGAGCATTAATTACTAACATAATTTAATGGCCACAAATAACTATTTTTCAGAATGTTATAAATGTCTCTTAAATGGAATAAGTGAACATGGTTTATAAACAATTGCATAACACAAAGTGTTGCACAAATTAACAAATCTTTATAATATTAAAGTATTATTAAGTGATGTGATAATTACAGTTTGTACAATAACACCTAAAATTACACAGCCTCAATGAGTACATATTATAATAATCATATCTATCTAATTTTTCTCCCCATATTTAATAACTATTGTGATAATTATAAAAATATATATAAATATAAACACTGCGAAAGCCTGCAAGTGAAAAAAACTATTCATAAGTCAAACCAGATTTTCTGTTTGATTTTTACTTCAAACATAAGACAAAGAGTTATTCTGGTTATTATTTCTGGATATATGTGAGGTCAAGATTGAGCAGAGAAGCTCAAAACCACATTGCCTAATAAGTTTGTACCTTTTAGGTTTTCGCAGTGTGGCTGTGTTGTCAAAGAGAATAATTTTACTTCAAAAATGTTGCATTAAAAAATTGATAGTGTAAACTAAGTTTGTTAATCAAAGAAAGAAAAAAATTGTAAAACACATATTTTAATTGTCCATGATATCATTGATAAAAACAAGCTTAACTAAATCTAGAAACATAATAAAATTTCAGAAAAAAAAGTTAGGGAGCATTAAATGATGTTCAGCCACCTAACCAAAGTAGAATGAATAAAAGTCTGGAAAGTAACCCTCCAACAAAATTAATTCAAAATAATACTAAATACAAGGGAAATATGCATTGACAAATTACAAAAATATGCACAAAGATTGAAGGAAGATTTAAAAATTATAACATAAATACAAAAAAAAATTTGTTTGTTAAAAAAATACTGTAATTGTATGGAAATGACACAAAGTTATTTATCGTATATAATTGCACAATGTTCTTATTTCACAAAGGAAAAATTCATCAATGTACTCAATCAATCAACTGTGATTCAATTTCATATAATGTTACTAAGTGACTTTTTGCAATAAACCCACGATATGTACTAAACCCATAAACCCACGATACCATTGCAGTTGTTGGAGGGAGGGAAGCAGTCCAGCAAGTGGGCCTTTTGATATAAACAATGTGGATTTTTATCTATTGTAAGTTAATATGTCAATTTTTTTTAAAGCAATATTTTAAGTCCTAAACATATATTCAGAACACAATCTAAAGATAAACAATTACACAAAGTAACACTATTATAATTTATCAATTAAACACTTAGACCTTATGGCACTTTGAATTAACAGCCAAAAATTAGGAATTTCAATTATCTTCACTCAAACTGCAAAAAATACAATGAAAGGAAGCGAATAGAACATAAATGCTGTTGCTAATACCTCAATTAACTAAAAATCGCTGTTAATTGTATATTACTGTTTTCAATTGCAGGTGTTTATATGATTTAAACAGCAAGCTCTAATTATAATTCTCATACTACAATGAAGAAATGGTTTTCATTTTTAAACTATAATCTTTTGACTGATTATCCAGAAATAATATACTGGAACCTAAAGATGAAACACTAATAAACGTAAATAAATATGCATGTTTAACAATCAATTTTTCGAAACTGTAAAACAAAATTAAATTTATACCCCTTACTTATTATTTATCAATTAATAAAATTAAATTTATCAATGATTGCTACAAATATTGGTTCTCTAAGATAACCAATAAAAATTACATATCACAAGTTTAATAAAAATTTTTTTTTTAAACAAAATATAAAAAATTATACAAATGTGATGGTACATTGATATCTATCTCAGTAAAACAACTTTTCATAATAATAAATAAAAGAAGAATGAACTAGTTACATGATTAAATGTGGGTTAAATGACAAAATACTAATCTACTATCTCACAGCCAGAATGAAAGAGCTACAACTCAACTCAAAATCATAATAATAAGAAGCTTATATATAGTTGGATGCTCTCCGTTTCGGCTTGAATATGCCATTTCCTAATATTGGCTAAAACAATAACACCAAAAATGAACTGGCAGCAATCTGTTTCGAGATTCTATAACATTTTGTTGTTTACCTCATATCAGATCTTACAAAAACGTACTGTTTAAGTTGTTTCCCTCTCTTTATGGAAGTGTGACACGACAACCATTCAATTTTTACAAAATAAACCGAAGTAAGAATCTTTTAAAATTTGTGTGTAAATGAAGGTTGCATTTTTAACCATTAGGTTAAAATACAATCATTAGAAACTTAAGCAATAAACTTTATTGAATGAAAAAAAAAAACCTATAAACATAACTCTAAAAAAACAAAATAGTAGGAAGTCAATAATAGAAACTATTAAATTGACTCAGGTCTACTCTATAGCTATTTATAAACATAATGAAATATTAAACTATGAAACAATCAACTTCAGATGATAAAAAGTTATAAGAAAGAAGTGGTAGAATCAAGAATAGATTACATTTGTAGTAGATTTGAAAAGCTTGAATTCCACTCAACAATGTTTCATTGTATTACATTATATGATGTAAAAAAAAAGGGTTCATTATAATTTCATTTCAGATGCCTAAGATTTAATTATACCTTTGACTGTAAATTATTTGATTACATGATTACATTCGGTTTCAATCAGTTTCTACTGTAACATTATCTGCGATATTAAACTGAATTTCACTTGGCTTACACTGGACAAAATGGTCTACTGCTAATAATAAGAGGTAATAACAATATATCAAAACTATACATTATAAAATATATAGCTCTTCAACAAATGCACTAATACTAATTACATGTAAAATTATCACAAATAAGCTTGCCAGCCTCTGAACAAGCGACTAAGATTATTTGGATCCTTTGCTTCTATGATGAGATTTCTTACTTGAGCTTCAATACTAGATATTCCACTATCTTCACGGCCTTCTAACTTCAACTGTAACCTCTGCAAGAACCTTTCGGCCAACTTATTTGTTTCATCCATACCTTAAAAAGTTATGAACATTAAGGAAGAAAGACATTAACCAGAATTAACTTTAAAAAAAATTTTCTGTTTCAAGAGGTAATGTGTGATTTTATAAAATGTAATGCCAGTGTCCAAATTGGCCTGATTGGAGTTTTTTTTCTCTGATAAATTTAAAGTTTGAAGTGATTGACAATTGATAGCCATATTGTAAAAACTTGCTAATGCAAAGCTAAAAAACTAAAACTAAAAATATTCAGGAGATGAAGAAAACTGTGTACTTCTTTTCTTTAGCAGATTTCAATTTATATTTAAATTGTGTTGCATGATAAATATTTAAAAAAATTTCAAATTTTTTGGTTTGTATTTCTGAACGAGTGGCTAAGAATGACCAGAAAAGCTCAAAACCGTAGCTTGCAATAAAATTGTTTTAACAGGCTTTTGCAACTTGGGTGTCCAAATGTTGTGTTAATCAAAACCTACAAGCCTTTTCTTGCTTCAGTCTCATGTGAGGATTATTTGTTAACGACTAGTCGCGAAATGAAGTTCACAGTATTGGAAAAGTTTAACAAAAATCTATATATATAAAAATGAATGTATGTCTGTCTGTCCTTCTGTTTGTCCTTAGTGCATTACTAAACCATTCATCCGATCGCCATGAAACTTTGGGAAGTTGTTCCGTACACTCCTGGGAAGGTTTCTGGCATAGTACTTCTGTCTTATGATAATTTTATATATGTAAAAAAAAATAAAATGTAAATGTTTTTCTGTTCAAAGCCACAAAAAAATGTGTCGCTATAAACTGTAGAGCCAAAACGGCTTTCTCAATTTTAACGAAACTTGGCTGAAGTCTTCCCCTTGAAACCCTTTTAATTTATGTGTATAACATATTTTCCCGAAAACAAGCTGAAGAATGTTACGATGAATTCAATACTCTATTTGCTGATAACTAAAAAAGTACACAATTTTTGATGGATAATATCTATATTTATTTGAAAGATTTCTGAATTGCTGACAAAATAAAAAAAATCATCGAAATCGGACGGTTCGTTGCAGAGTTATAGAGTTTTAAACAATTACTGCTTTCTCTTCAGAAAAGGCCGTTTCCTTTTGCTTCCTCACTATCGAAGGTTGGCAAGCATTTGTTTTGTTTTTTTATTGATTAATCAAAAAATTTATAATTACTACAGTAATTGAAATTATCATTTGAAGAAGTTATATGATTCTCCTTATGTAGGTCAATACTATTATACGTTTTTTTTTATTAATTTAGTTTTATAAGTTAAACTTAGACTGTTTCTGATGATTATGAATTATGGCGTATTCACTCAGATGTTTATGAATGTTCAATTTGAATCATGAGAAAAAAATCATTAGAATTAGTTTAAATTGAAGCCATTTTACAGACGAATTCGTTTCCCAACTTTTTAAAAACGACAGATGACCTTTCCTACTAATCTACTCATATGTGCTTTCTATTTTCTTTCTTTTTCATTTTGCCAGGCTAAGCCACAGCAGCGCGTGGCCGGGTAAAGCTAGTAATTTATAAAAGAAAAATGTACATGAAGATTGCAACAAAGGATCTACGTGATATGATAAGATTTATAACAACTTTCCAGTTTAAACAGCATTTGTCAATGGTTCTGAAGTCTAACTGAAGCGTCTGGAATTCAATGTATGGGCCATTCATAATTAACATATATGGGAAGAAAAAAAAATTATACATATAAAAAACGTGTAAAAAATGGCTGAGAATATGTCTCTTCATTTTCTGTCCTAAGCCTCCTCTCTGGTTTTTCTTATAAAATCAAAGAGCATGGGATGGAAGCAGATGTGATCAGGTACATAAAGTAAGGCAGACTGTCTTGTGCTGATCATATTTTACATTAATGCTAATAGAAGAAATCCACAAGAAGTTGCTAGGCAGGACCAGAGGAAGAGGCAGACCAGGATTAAATTTGTAGGACACAGTAGCTACAGAGGTCTGAGACATCATGGGCACCCACAACTGGTGAAGGTTGCACATGATTAAAAATAAGGTTATATTATAGTATTTGATCTAGCAAAGACTAATTGTGGAGGCCAAGGACCACACTGGACTGTAGCAACATTGAGTAGTAGTAAAAAATAATATCAAACCTGAGTATTTTATCACATGTTCACAACTCCCCGTTTAAGCTTCTTTTTTTGACATATTACTTCTTTTTTTTTTAAAGCCTGTTCTTACAAGTATTTTGCAACCTATAGGCCTCCCCTAATTAAGAGGTTAATGGTCTAACTTCCGTATTGGGAAGTAGGGATGGGATTCGATTCTAAGATCTTTGCTTTACTGGTATAGCGCGCTAACCGCTCTGCTATGCATTTTGATTAGTAATAGCCTGGATATATTCCCTGATCAGAGAATGGTACTAATTTTTTATATAAAAGTTCCCCAGAGCCCCGAAATTTTCTGTTAAAAGAAATATTATTTTATCAAGACAGGATATGAACCTAGTTAGTTCAGCAAAATAATCTACCCACTAGGGTAAACAAAGCAAATATACTCTTATAACCTTGACATTTTTTTTAAAAGTGAATTCCTAATTATATTATTAGAATTAAAATATAGCAAGTTTTAACTGAAACAATTTTTAAGGTCAATATTTTCAAATTCTGACTTTTATTTATATAGTCTTGTTAACATTTAAGTATAATTCAATATTTTTTGGCTGAGATTTATAACCTCATCAGTTATAAATTTAAATTGAGAAATGTATTTCAGAAAATTTTCCTTATAGTTAGTACTAAACAAAGTTTATTTTTAATATTTTTTTTGAAGTTTTTAACAAAGAAATTAGTAAATAAATTTCTAGAATAGATGTTAATAGAAAATAAATTAGCCAACATACTTATGTCAGGTATTGATTGTTGAGACTGCTCAGACCTTGGTTTTTTTACAGACCAACTGTAAAGAGGGTCATAAAGAAGAGCTTCTAGAGTTGTTAAAATTGGCTCAGATTTCTTGCGTAGAACCCGTAAGGTTTCTTCACAGCATCTGACAAAATAATTATAAACTACAATAAAAAATGAAATGAAATGAAAAAAAAAAAATGAAAATAATACAATAAAATTCTGAATGACTTTACATTTTAGAAAGAGACTAGGTTTTTTGAGAATACAATAAGTAATTAATTAAGTAATTTATCCATTTAACCAAAATATTCATGAGATCTAAAATGAGAGATCATTTGATTTTACAAATTCCCTTATATTTCTTTCTCAATGCTAATATTTTATTATTGATTTTACTGTTGTTTTTTTTCAATAGTTGGCAGAAACATTTACATCAGGTCTGTCATATTAAATCATGCCTCAGAGCATTTTTCTTAAGTCCAACAGGATTAGTTTCAATATTTGCTTTGTAAAAAAACATATAAATTCTTTTGGCTTACTTTCTAAAGGCTCCTTCAACTCCTGTTATGCCCATTCCATCTTCTATATCTCTGGTTAACCTGAATGGCACTGTTTCAGGTGTTGGTAATATTCGACCAAGTTCAAAAGAAATACCTAAAATGAGAGAAATGAAATTTAAACACAAAACATATAACCATTAATTCAAAACTACCAATCAAGCCAAATTCCAGAATTGAGATTAACTTTGTTTTATTTTACAATTCAAAATGTATCATTAATCTTAGAAAGTCATTCTAAGCATTCATCTTAAATCATACAAGATTGGAACAGCTAAATTTCTTAAAACTCTTTCTGTTTAAAGAAAACATATATGTATAAGAAGATTTTGTGTATTTTTATTAGAATACAATAATATATTGCTTCTTGGAATTGATATATTTCCGCTAGCACAGCAAATGACCTCCTCTATAACTTCCATCAAGATATACTTTACAAATTATATCATTCTCTCTTTCACAAAAGAGTTGCAGTACTAGTTGAATCATAATTTCAGATTCATTACCATCTTAAATGATTCACTGTTTTGTTATTTTTGCAACAAAAATTCATCCATGTATTACTTACTTTATCACTATTGAAACAATAAAATACTGCATTAGCTATTTGTCAAAACTATGCTTACCAAAATCTATGTGGATAACTTCAGCTGTTTCATTATCAATAAGTATATTAAAGACATGGCGATCACCAATTCCCATGACATATCCAATCATTGAGTTTGTAGCAACACTGAAAAAAAATCATTATTCAATTTAAATTTTTTTTTTTAATCTATGAAAAACTATACAATCATTATAAACTACATTGAATTAATTTATGATATGATTTTGCAGCAGTTTTATAAAAGATTACTCATAAATGAATCTTTTGCAATTGATTCACTAAAATTCCGTTTGAGATATTATACAAAAATAATGAATACTAGATCTATCGGGTTAGCAAATAAGTCCTTTCAGTTTTTCTGTTTATTTTAATGTCACTCCACTTTTCCATTTCTTATCTGATGATTAATCCCTAAGGTGGATCGTTCATCCTGTTTATAACAATGAATACCTCAATAGAAGGCAAAAGACCACGTGGAAGGGCAAAAAGCATATTGATAGATAGAATCAACAAAGATGCAACAGAGCTGCGTGCAGATAAATGTTTAAAAGAGGTAAGTGTGCTGAATCTGCAGTGTTTATGGGGATGGTGCCTTGACCGAACGCACCTGTCAAAATTGGTTTGCCAAATTTCATTCAGGAAATTTTGACATCAATGATGCTAAAATGTCTGGTTAAGCATCATTGATGTCAAGCACAATTGGTTAAGCACTCTCTAACCGAAGTCAACTTGGCAACACGCATTTCTGTTTGTCATTCACTACGGAAACGGAAACGGCAACGAAACGACCCATTTTTGAAAAGTTTGAATATTTTATGATAATGAAATTCGTAGAAAATCTTGGGGACCTAGTAGTGAGACTCCTAGAAGAATGTCAAAACTCGGATTGCATCCAAAGAAGATAATGCTTTCCATATGGTGGGATTTCAAGGGTGTTATTTTCTATGAGGTATTACCATCGGAACAAACAATTGATTCAACTCTATACTGCTCACAAATAAGAAAATCGGATCAATCAATTACAAATAAACGCCCAGAACTGGCAAATCGGAAGGGTGTTGTGTCCCACCAAGAAAATTATTGAGTCTTGGATGATCCCCACCCTCCCTATTCATCAGACCTAGCTCCAAGTGTCTACCACTTATTCCAATCTCTGCAAAACTCCATGAATGGAAAGATATTCCAAAAGGAAGAAGACATCAAAAACAACTTAGATCAGTTTTTTAATAATAAACTCCAGACTTCTATGAACATGGCATTATGCAGTTTGTGGACAGATGAGAAAAAGTCATATTAAATAATGGTCAATATATTGTAGATTACAATAAATTTTATGTCTATAATATATTAAGTTTTATTTCACCCTGAAACACCAAAAGGACTTATTTGCCAACCCAATATTAGCATAAATAAACATAAATGCAAACAATATTAAAGAATAAATTGCAATACCTTCTTGTAAATGCCAGCCTCTTCTCATACCATACGCCTGGTGTTAGGTAACGCTCAAGAAAAAAATGTCTCATCACAGGTTTGAATTTGGAGCAAATAATCTTGAACATCTGTCCATATATATAATAAAAGACATTAAATTAGAGAAAAATAAAACCTCTAATTTTAAATTACAGTTAAATAAATTGAAGCTGCAGCCGCAATAAGGATTCATAAGGCCATTAGAAAGAGAGAATGCTTTAATGATTTCAAAATATTCTCAAGAATATCTCTTAAAAATCCCGTTCTAATCAATAAATTATTGAGTTTAGTATGACTGGTTTTACACCCATATATGCCTATTGGAGTATTGTGAATGTAATCACCAATTGCCCAAGCGATGATGATAGGAAGTATCAGAAGGCCTCGAATAATATGGATCTAGTTGTGTAGCTAGACAGAACTAAAGAGGGTTGAGGCAGGACGATAGGATTGTCAAGGGAACAACCAACGAACCATGGGTGATAAGCGAGCTAAAGGCAAAGATTAGTCCTCTAACCCAATTTAAGAAAAGGATAAGTAAAAGAATGGAAAGAATAAGATCTTGAGATTTAAAGTCTGCATGTTTTATCTATCTATGAAATAAACTTAATGACTTGTAGAATTTCCTCAACTACTATATAGTTATTTAATAAAAATGTATATTGCGACATTAGAAACTTTTCTTTTATTTCAACATTTTGTTTTTTACTTCAAGCACAGTCTGCCTAAGGTAAGTGTCAAAACATTTTCCTGCTGATTCCTCCTCTATTTTGCACGTACTTCTACAATTTTTTTTACAAGTTAAGATTTCTTTCACATTTTTTTTTCTTCATTTCTTTTAAAAAATTAGAACTTAGAAGAAAATCAAACATCGGAAAACGTGTTTCTGGTATGAGGTAATTACTATTACTATGGTGAGGAGAGGAGGTAGAGCTTGAGAGGGAAAAATCTGTGCGAGCTCCTTTCCCGTATAGGCAAACTTATCTTAAGCAAACTATACCTGGTATTAGAATGGGAAATCATATCCTGAAAGCGGTAGAAACCTTTAAGTATTTAAGGTGCTCTAATTACAGAAAGTAATGAAATGACAAAAGAGCTGAAAGCAAGAATGGCTACTGAGAATAGATGCTATTTTGGCATGCAAAAATTACAAAATCATAGCTCTCTCCCTCATAGAACAAAAGTCACAGTATACGAGAAAGTCATAAGACCCATCGTCTTCAAAAAGGAAGCTACTTGAACGTTCCTCCACTCTTTAGTTGTGTGAGATCTATGTAAGATTGGATTTGGTTTCAATTGTGATGAGTTACCAAATCAGATGGTTGGGCCATGTGACATGTATGCCCAGTGATTCAATCCCAAACGCCTGATGGAGGATCGGCCTGGTGGAAGACCATGCCTGAGATGGCCGAATAAGATGGAGGACATCCTGAAAAGGATGGGAATGTGGAGATGGAGAACGCTGGTCTGAGATAGAGGAGAGTGGAGATGAAGGTACTTTTTGTCTAAGCAGCCGCTACTGACTGCTATCTGCCAATGTTTATAACCTGAACACTGATAGCTCCCATAACGCAGTGATAAGCTTTCTCCTACTTCACATCTTCGTATTATTGTATTAAATTCGTATTATTGAAAGTGTAAACAGATACAAAAACAGATGTAATAACAACAAAAATACTTTTATTTGACGACAAATTTATTAATGAAATAATAAAAAAACACTTTAAGAAGATATGTACATATAAAACATCAAAATGAAATTTAAAAAAAATAAATTTAAAAGAACATATTTATATAGAAAAGAAAAAATATCAACACTATAAACAACGTATATACAAATTATTTTAAGTTAATTATTCACTTCCTTTTGTCTTATTTATTTTGGAAGGCAAAATTGTTTTATGCTACTTAAAATAGCGAGGAACGGGTCCTCTTCTCTGTGAACCCGCCGCCACAAAAATTTGCACAAATATGAATCGAGGTGTTGTCTGGCAGTTCCTCTATGTACTTTATTTCTCCACTTAGCTGAGCCCCACAATCGTTCTATGTGTTGAGTATGAACCCCAGTTGATGGATCGACAAAATTATACCGGTGATTCACTTGGAAATGGTCATAGTTTGCTTCGTTCAGTTGTCGGGTGTTGTATCCTTTCCAACAGTCCGAATAAATGGTCGTTCCCTCTTCTATATTTTCTTTATTGGCTTGTAATAATGTTGTTGTCTTTCTGTCAATTATTTTGACGATAAAACATTCATCTGTTTCTCGGCAAACTCCACCAAACATCCACCAATGATAAGCCAGCAAGTACCCCAACATTTTGAAAATACTGAATTGCCTGTTCTTCTGAAGACGGTAAATCCCATATTCTAAGAAGATCCATAATATGACGAAAATAAACGAAAAAAAAATGAAAAATAAACACCAAGGGGTCACAAACTAAAAAAAAATGTAAAATAAACACAAACGGGCCAAAAGTAAACAATTTAATAAGTGAACGTAATAAGGGAATAACTGAAAACTAAACAATGCAATAACTCAAAAGTTTGGCGGATTAAGAAGAGGGAGGTTATGTGACATGATGACATGACGTTAGATAAGATAGATAAGGAGTGAGGTTTCAAAACGGCCGTCTTAGACAAAAAGTACTGAGAAGAATTATGAGAGAGGCCCAGGTTCTTGTAGGAGTACAACGCCAAGAATAGATTAATAATTTATATTTTCTGACAACTCAAAGTAATATTTTCTGAACTGTTGTCTAATGGATTACTGAATGGTAGAAATAATTAAAGATCAGCGATCAGGAATGGTCTGTTGACCCAATGGAAGAGGAATAAGAGATCTACAAATAAATACTATTAAACTCAAGCATATTAATTTTTTCCTAACAAGGCATTGATATTGATTTTTTTATTCTATTCAGTTTTATTTTAAATATTGACTGTTATGCTATAATAGAATAATAAATGTTTAATATAAAGTTAAAAATATATTCTATGCTTGAAAGGTCCTACTAGGACATTGTGTTTTTCTATAAATATGGCATATAAGTAATTATTAAGTTTTTTTAACCAAATTGTGAGTGCTAGTTTAAGAATTAATGGTTGCCATAATGAAGGAAATTTCGGGCTTCATAAACTAACTTTTGGGCTATGTGATCTTCTTACAGCTACCACCTCAATTGTTTAATGATTTTGAAAATGTTATTTGAACCATATTATAAAATAAATAAACATAAATACATTTATATCAGAAATTTATGAACAAATTATGTATGGATACATATATTCCAACTGATTACCTCCAATTTTTCTTCATTGGACTTTTGAGCAACATTCTGTAAGTTCAATTTACATTTCATCTGACTCATATCATGAGGTCTGTGGCGAGAATGAGCTTTAGACAGGTATAAACCGAGAGGTTCTGTATTACTGCACCATTCTATTACTCCACTTTTCTGAGTCATAGGAACTACCTAAAAATAAATAGATGAGTAAAGCCATGTTCCAAAACATAGTAATAAAACATTCATCATGCAATCGGTGCCATTGAATGGCTCAACTTAAAGAATTAATTTGAAACAATCAAAATATTCAGAACAATCTTTTTTCTTCAGGAGTGTTGTGCACTTTTTTGAGGAGAGTGGATTAAATTGAGCTAACAAATTCAACAGATAAAGTCAGCTGAATGAATTGAACTGTTATTGAATATGGATTAAAGTATCTCTGAAATTAAAAATCAGATCTGTGAGGGAATTGATCAGCATTTCGTCCTCTCTTTAATGGACTATTATTCAAAATTGTATCATAATGCGAGGTCGTGTTAGATAGACAAAAATGAAAAAAAATAGTGTTGAAAATCAAATGATAACGAGTTTTATAGAACATAAGGATTAAGATATCTCAGAAACTAAAAATCAGAACTGCATACTGTAAGCGAGGGAAATGTTCAGAATTCCATCGTCTTCATAATGAGCTATTATTTGTAATTTATATTTCATATTATTAATCACGCCTTGCTGATGTTTTCACTTTTATCGTGGGGTCTAAAGCACACACCTTAGTTTTTTTTTTTGTTTTGTTTTTAACAAATCTTTCATTATGTAGAATTTTTAACTTAATACTACCTTACATATTATAAAAAAAGTTAATAGTTTCAGATAAACTGGGACAAGTATAAATTATCAGAGTATGGCCTTTAAGAATGGAATCCTGTATTCTCACTGATTAGTGAGACTAAATAGTTAACTAAACAAATAAAATATATATATCGGACGCTGATGACCTGGATGTTTTGCACCTAGACATCGAAACAAATAAAATATATTTAATTATATAAAACTTTCAAAATATTTCATTATCTCTCACAGCTGTTATAACACTTACTTTGTAAGTTCGTATATTAAGTCTTCTTCTAGAAGTGATCTCATCAGATTCTAGCAAAGTGTTTAACACAGAAAACACTTGTTGCATCAAAGCATCTTGTCTAATATCATCTCGACCCTAAAATGAAAACAAAAAAATCTATTAAAAGTATATAAAAATTAGATTATATCGTGCAAATTTATCATCTCTGCTTATGAGAGTCATTGTGCAAAGATCAAAACTGGACCCAAGCTTGGACAAAACAAAAGGTCTATAGAGAGGCCTTTGTATTATTCAAATTATACATTCTCAACAGTCTTGCCTCAGATACTGGATGGATTCATAGAAATGAACAGGATCTAGTGGTACAGGTTACAAGATTGGAATATGAAATGTGAGGGCACTCTGTAGACCTGGATCAATAATGGAATAGAAAACTCAGCTGACGAATTTTAAGAAGGGTATGACCACAATTCAGGAAGTTCAACAGACAGGATATGGAAAATAAACGGAATATTTTTTTTAAAAAAGTTAGTAGGAGGAGTAAATAGGAGCCAATTTCCAGGGAGGTGTTATAAAAATAAATTGGGAACATCACTGCTATGACAAGATGAAAACAGATGAACAAGAATTTGAAATACTGAAGACCGATAACTGAAGCTACAAACCAACACTGTAAACAGGATGGAAGTGGAAAATTAAATAATATCCAAGATCTTTGGACGAAGTTAATGGGATAAAATCAGACTTCATAAATTACTGCCCAGTGATAAATTTATCAGATGAGTACATTGGATCACAATATAAAAAAATCGATGGGAAGAGCATTTACGATAGGTGTTAAACCCTCAGGAAGATGGGGAGCATTTAGATTGGGATTAATAGCATTATTATTATATTAATAGCATGAAGTAAATGACATTTTGAAGTGAGAAAGAGAAAATCAGAATTTTTTTCTACAGAGAAAATCAGAAATGTTTTGTACAGAGAAAAGTATATATTATATATAAGCTGAAAAATATATTAATGTTTTAATGATGTATCCCAAAAAATGGCATTGATGAATAATAAGTAATTAAATATTAATTTGAAAGAGGTAGACATTACTTACTTTGACAAGTTCTGTCTTCACTTTTCCATCCGAAGAAAGAACCTTGATCTTCTTAGGCTGATTTATGCCACCAGCAATTTGAAAAGCATCTTCAATAGCAACTAGACCTTTACAAAAAAATATATGGCTGCATAACTAGCTGTTTTACTTATATTATTTATTCCTAACAAAAAGCAAAATAACATACCTGGAATATCTTTATAGTCAGCATTTTTACTGATGGGAACTGTTACTGTTGCTGAGGCAATATGGGTTAGATCTTTCATTTCTCTCAATTTTTCATTTTTAGGAATCTTAAAACTTTCTGAAATGTAAAGAGGAAATAATTATTATGAATTCATTATACAGTACATTTTTAAACGATTATTTCGATGTCTAATGTCAAACATCTTATATAATAATAATAAAAAAATTATAAAAGATAATATAAATTGAAATATTTCTAGAATTGGTGTATTGTCAAATAAGTCCTAAAATCGCCTAACTCGTGGAGGATTTAATTGAATATTCACAGACATTCATGATTATCCAAATTAAAATTAAAAAAAAAAAGAAGTAATTACCAACACTCCAGTCGATTCATATCTTAAAAGATTGGCATGGATATTATGAGGAAGATGAAAATATCCTAAAATAAATCTTATATCCATGTCTTACTTACAACCAAAGTGGATGAACGGAACCCTGTTGTAATTTTAAAACTGACTGTGTAGTGGTTCCCAAGATGGCCAATCCAACCTTGTTAAGTTGAAACATTTATTTTCATAATAAGTTAAACAATTACTACTTGTTCTTATTTTGTTGACAGAGCATTTTAAAAAAAATATTATTTTTGCATTATGACTGCGATGAAGAATGGCAGTTTTAGGATTTATAAATTTGTTTTTTTGAAATGCGTGAAAATGTATAGCCTAAAAATTGCATCAAAAATAACATAAGTAATAAAATGTTGAAATGAAACATTGGGTTAAAAAAAAGAAAGTAAGAATGATGTTTTAATAAATAATAATTCTATAAGAAAGTTGTGAAAACTATTGAAAAAGCAAGAAAACTATATATTTTGTTTCTCTAAGACAACATATCTGGCAAAATAGGACTTGCTTTTACAAGTCTTGAAGACAAAAAAAAAAAAAAAAAAAAAAAAAAAAAAAAAAAAAAAAAAAGACAACATATATAACATAATGACTTATATCTCACCTCCAGGTTTAATTGTTTTAGGCAGTTCAAGATTTGCAAAGCTTATGTAAGCCAGGGCCAAATCTTGCATGGACTTTACAATTTTTCCAACAGATGAATCTTTAAGTATATTACTCAACAGTTTGATAGAACCCTGAACTCTAGGCTGGGAACCAACAGGAACAAAGAATTAAAGAATGAATGTTGCAATAGTGTAATAGAGAATTTTAATATTACTCACAGCTGGTGGAATTTCAGACTTTGGTTGATCCTTTTCAGCATTAGCCAGTGCCAAGAGGTGCCATAAACAATGATGAGGATGCTCTGTTGAACATCGCTCTGCAAACAAGACCATACAATCAATTGATACAATGTTGAGGGAAAAAGTTAGTAATAATAAAAAAAAAAATGTATTTTTTTTATATATATATATATTTTTTTTTTTTTTTTTATTTCTTTATGACATTTACAACTGTATTACATAAATACATCAAGTAAATTTGAACATAATTGATATAATGACATGAATACACTTGCTGAGTAACTACCCAATGGTAGCACTCTAATGATATGACTACATTAGGAGATCACGGGGCCATCTTCTTTTCAGACGCCTCGGAGGGTTATCAGGAATTGAAGAGGAAGCAAGGTTAGAAACGAGAGGGTTGGGATGATTCTGAAGTTTATTATGGAAGGATAGGTATCTGGATTGGGCCAGATCTGAAACATAAGGAACATTAAGATCTTTATGGATAATTTTATTAGTGACAAAGTAAGGAGCATTGAGGATTTTACGAAGGATTTTGGATTGTAAGGATTGGATGCGAGAGGAATTCGATGGTTTAGTGGAGCCCCATAGCTCAACTCCGTAAGTCCAAATAGGTCTTATTATAGTCAAGTATATGAGTCTTTTGTAATTAATGGGAAGTTTAGAGCGTTTGTCTAGTAAGTGCTGAAGTAATCGGAAACGTCGAGCGGTTTCTTGTCGTTTCAGTCTAGTATGAGGATTCCAAGTTAGTCGTTTGTCCAGGTGGAGTCCTAGGTATCGGATTTGCTCAACAGGGATAAGTGGAGTATTGTTAAAGGAAACTGTAGGACAGGAAGTCGTTGGTTTACGACGAAGGGTAAAGGTAATTTGGTGGGATTTATTGGAGTTTATTTTAATTCTCCAGTTTTGACACCATTCTTCTAGATTTATGATGTGTGATTGAAGCATTTGGGATGCAATTGCTGGGTCATTGTTTACTGATAGGATACATGTGTCATCGGCATATGTGGTGATGACAGTGTTGGGATGGGTTGGGATGTCAGCTGTATAAACTGTATAGAGGATAGGACCTAGGATACTACCTTGAGGAACACCAGCGGACTGGGAAAAAAGGGATGAATAGGCGTTATTGTGATTTACTTTAAAGTATCTATCAGTAAGGTAAGAACGGATAATGAGGAAGTATGTAGGTGGTAGGAATTTTCGGAGTTTGTACAGCAGTCCCGGGTGCCAAACTCTATCAAACGCCTGTTCAACGTCGAGAAAGACTCCCGTACAGTACATTCCGCGCTCCAATGCAGAGGATACTACGTCTACCACACGATGACATTGCTGTATAGTGGAATGGGAAGTTCGGAAACCAAATTGGTGATCTGGGATTATGTGTTTAGAATTTAGGATAGGGTACAGGCGTTTTAAGATGAGTTTTTCTAGGATCTTGCCCATGATGGGTAAAAGAGAGATAGGACGGTAAGAGGATGGGTATTCTGGTGGTTTTTTGGGTTTGTGGATCATTTTAACAATAGATCGTTTCCAAGGATCAGGAAAATATGTAGAACGGAGTACAGCATTATATATGTAAGTAAGGAATAGGATGGCTTTTCGAGGAAGAAGTTTTAGGATCTGGGATGTAATTAGATCATGTCCAGGAGCTTTACGGGAAGGCAATTTTTGAATGATGTTGGATATTTCTATGGGATGAAATGCTTTGGGTGGCAGAGACATTTGGAGAGGAATATCCAGTTCTGCCTCAATACAATTGATGTGAGTCGAATTAAGGATATCGGGATGTGGGTTAAAAGTTTGGAAGAGATGTTGACCAAATAGTTGGGCTTTTTCTTCGTCGGATTTGGACCAGGTTTGGGAATCAGTAAGTAGTGGGTGATTAAAGTCTTGAAACTTAAGAAGTTTTTTGGTGGTCATCCATAATGATTTGTCAGTGGTTGAAAGTTTTTCAGTAAAATTTAGTAAATTTTGAATTTTGTATTTTCTTATTTCTGATTTCAGTTTGTTAGTCAGTTGGGTGTAATGCGATTTATCTGTTGGGTATCTAGTCCTATGCCACTTCGATCTTGCTCTGCGTTTTTCCTGTAATAAGATACGAATATGCTGTGGCAAGTTAGTATTTTGTGGGAAGTTAATCTTATTGATAAATGGGTATTGTAAGTGTCATGGCCGAAACTGAGGTTCTATATTCGTATCGTTCCGTCTTTGCTAGTTTGTTATGTGCTTATTATCTCAAATCCTGTTCTCAGACTTTGTAAACAGTGAGTTTATAAACAATTTAACATTTTTACATTACAATCAGTGAGGTGAGTGACTTTTATTAACAATTAGCAACATTAAATTGGTACTCGATTGCTAGAGACAGTTTACGTGGCAGATAATTCCCCTCAGCGGGTCTTATCTTTCAAATTCAAGGTCACAGCGCTTTATTTTACGTTCAGAATATCTTGAGTTCGTACCTAAGACAGTATATATTTTTTTTTTTCTCTGTTTTTATTTCTTAATTGATTATTTTATTTTAATATTTTTTTTTTCTACTGAGACTCTATTTTATTTATTTATAAAAATGTTTTTTTTAATATTTGTATATATATTTGTATATATATTTGTAAATAGATTAGTTATTAAGTATTTGTTTTGTAAATTTTCTTATTAGTGATACTTTTTTTTTTTCTCTCTTCTTTTTGTATATATTATTATTTAGAGGTATGGATTCTGATAAGAACATTTCTTTTGACGAATCAGATGAAGAGACTCCTTTCTCCGAAATCAGTGAGACTGATTCTCAATATTTAACAAGGCGAACTCTCCAAAAGCGCCATAGAAACTCTGCCCCCGGTTCGGCGGGCAACTCACCTAATAAAAAAAAAAACAAATCCGCTAAAACAAAGCAAGCTCTCAAAGTAAATAAACAATCAAAAACTAGTAATAATTCAGCGATGAAACCTGACACTAAACCATCAACTAACACATCCAGTAACAATTCTGTTACAGCCAATAATAAAATTAACGAAATCACTGAACCTAGAACTTTCACTGAACCAGTGCCACCTCCGATTTATGTAAGCAAGATTGACAATTTCATTCAGTTCGGTCAAGAAATAGCTAATCTGATCGGACCGACCAACTTCCGGTGTTTTTCTCGAGTCAACGATATAAAGATTAACACCAATACTAAAGAAGATTATAAAAAACTTATAAATCATTTGACAGCACTCAATCACGACTTCCACTGCTATCAACTAAAAGAAGACAAAACATATAGAGTGGTTTTGAGAGGTCTTCACTCTACCACACCCACTACCGCTATAAAAAAAGATCTGGAAGATATCGGCCATTCGGTAAGACATATATCTTCTATTTTACATCCTATTGATAAATATCCACTGCCATTATTTTTCATCGATCTAGAACCAGCCCGGAATAATGCAGAAATCTTCGAAGTTAAAAGACTGCTGTATTCTGTTGTAAAATTTGAAGAGCCGAGACAGAAACCAATAGTCGTTCAATGCACCAAGTGCCAAAACTTAGGGCATACAAAGGCTTACTGCCATCACTCGGTGCGTTGCGTTAAATGCGCCGGGCCTCACGCCTCTAACACCTGCCAGAAACCGTTAAATGAACCACCAAAATGTGCCCTTTGTGGTGAGGACCACCCTGCAACCTATCGGGGCTGCATTATCTATAAGAAGCTGTATAAGCAAAGAACTTATAATTTATCATTAAAAGAAGAACAGAAGAATTCTACCCAGGCACAGGTACAGGCACCTGAACTCCTAAATTTGGCAGCGTTTCCTCAACTGCCGAACGAAATAATACCACAATTGACGCACAACCCTTCTACATCAACAGATCATCCCCATCAAGACTCTAGGCACCTATATTCAGACACTACGGTGAAGAATCAACAGCCGCGACGTCAGACGCCTCAGATTTCCAAAACTAAGACTCAGGCTTCCAAACCTAAGATCCAGACCTCCCAATCCAAGACTCAAATCTCCCACATTCATTCAAAATCTCCACGTCAGCAAATGCCTCCTCACCAGATACCTATACGTGTAAAATTACCTCCCGAACATCCAACTCCTGTTTATTCCCACCCTACTGCTCATATTTACTCTCCTTCCCAAGTTCCAAGGGTACATCCTTCATCAGACACTCCTTATCATAAGATCTTTCCCTCACGAACTCCTAATCAAAACCAACCTCACCAACAAAACCCGATCGATTTAATAAACTCCACCCTTGCGTCCTTCCTGAAAGATCTCCAAGAGACTATCAAGCCACTAATTACCCTCCTCACAAGAATCCTTACCGAAATTCCCTTCAATCTCTCACGATGAGCACTAAGCCCCTAGCTGTTCTTTTATGGAATGGTAACGGACTACAAAACCACCGAGACGAACTCGACATTTTTCTTCATGACTATCACATTGATATTGCTCTACTGACAGAAACTCACTTCATTCGACGTTCATATTTCTACATACGTGACTATATCACTTATAGATCAGACCACCCCGACAACACTTCCCATGCCGGTTCTTGCATCCTTATCCATAAATCCTTATCCCATTCTCTCATTCCTTCTACTCCAACGGAGGCTATTCAAGCAACCTCGGTTATCATTTCAACTCGTCCTTTCCATTTAACATTCTCAGCTGTATACTGTCCTCCCGGTCATACTCTTACCTATAACTTACTTGAATCCTTATTTCAATCCTTCGGATCGCGCTTTATTGCTGGAGGAGACTACAATGCTAAACACCAACGATGGGGTTGTCGATCATCCAACTCCCGTGGTAACATACTATCTTCTGTCTCAACTTCCAATAGTTACTCTGTCCTCTCTCCTATGAATCCTACCTATTGGCCAACATCCCTCAAAAAACGCCCTGATATCCTCGACATATTTGTCACCTCCCAAATTTCCTCTTCCCATGTCACAATAAAATCCCTGGATGACCTCTCCTCAGATCATTCTCCAGTTCTGCTTTCATTACACACAACCTTCGCTCCTAAGCCCTCGTCCTCTCCTACACTGATTACAGGACGAGTAAACTGG